CGATGCCCTCTCGTATTCAATCGGATTAAAAAGATGCCATCAATAGATTTTTCCAACCTTTAAGACTCCGGCATATATCGTCTTCATAGGGGGATAGGGGTGGGTTGGATGGCCGAATGGTTAGCACGTGCGTGCTGTATCATAAAGCCTGTCATTGAGTCAACTGGTGTGGTTTCGAATCCCCAGTTGTACGTGACAAGGAGTAGGGTCGTCTGTCCAACCTCGTGGGTTTTCTCCGGGTCCTCCGGTTTCCTCCCACTGCTAAAGACCCCTACGCGCAAGCGAATTATTGAAATAAAATTAAAACCATATGTTAGTCCCGAAATGACCTAGTTTGTGTCGAGTGGACGTTAAACCCCATTTCTCTCTCTCTCTCTATCTTTCTCTCATCGGGGAATACGGGTGGTGTGGCAATTTATCCGCAGTGGGTATTGAATGTATCTTCTATCTACCCGAACGACATATCCTCTATAATTAGAGAGTCGCTGTGGCTGATAAGGCACTGGGCAGCGAAAATTTATTGCCCACCCCGCCACACACACACCCACACACACACACACACACACACACGTAAGAGCATGCGGATTACAGGGGTGGGGTAAGGAACGGCGTCTTGTCGTTCGAATGGTCCGAAAAGCAGGGAGACCGTATGCAAGTCATCCTCGGTATCCATAGTGGTCCGTTCTCCTCCATGGAATTCGATGAAGGGGAGGCGACAGAATATCCGTCGTAGCCTTTCATTTCAGATATACAATTATTGATGGCATTCTGAACATCAGAGACACGTTATTCTTCCTCTCTTAAGCATTCACATGGGGTGCTTTTCTATTGGTTGATGTAAAATGAGAAGGCTCGTCAGGTTTCCATCGTACATATAACTGAGTATGTTTTTATTTCTGGTGTGGGGGTTGGATGTCCGAATGGTTAACATGTGCGCGCTGTATCATAAGGTCTGTCATTGAGTCAACTGGCGTGGTTTCGATTTCTCGGTTGTACGTGACAAGGAGTAGGATGGCCTGTCCAACCTGTTGGGTTTTCTCCCGGTCCTTCGGTTTCCTCCCACTGCTAAAGAGCTGTACGCGCAAGCGAATTATTGACATAAAATTGAACCATGTGTAAGTCCCGGATTGACCTAGTTTGTGTCGAGAAGACTTTAGACCCGCATGGTCTAAACGTCCGTCTATCGTCGATTCGAACGTCTTTGTAAAAAATTTTCAACCATATACCCTAGTTAGAACAATGACATTGTTGACGGACGTCCGGGGCGAGTTAGCTACAAGGACGAAGAGTTTGGGATATTTAAAAATTGTTGGGCGAGTTAGTCGGTTTCGAGAAGGTTGACCATGTCCATAGGTATGTTCGACCATAGATGTAGAAATATACCAAAAACCACCTGGTTATTATTAGGTATACATTTCGCAGATTATCCGAAACGCTAGAGCGTGTTAGTTCTCTGTACAAGTTTTAGGTCTTCATAAGTATGGACCCAGGGGACTTATTCACGAGTAGTTGAACTAAAATATTTTAAGAATTAGACATTTCATTGGCTAAGAATTAAACTCATAGTACAAATGTAACCACAGCAAAATCGAATAAAGATTACCTCGTTACCACAGCGGTTATAAATAAAGATTACTCAGTGTTTACGAATAAAAATTACCTCGTAACTACAGTGTTTACGAATAAAAATTACCCCGTAACTACAGTGTTTACGAATAAAGATTACCTCGTAACCACAGAGTTTACGAATAAAAATTATCCCGTAACCACAGAGTTTACGAATAAAGATTCTACCCCGTAACCACAGTGTTTACGAATAAAGATTCTACCTCGTAACCACAGAGTTTACGAATAAAGATTCTACCTCGTAACCACAGAGTTTACGAATAAAAATTACCCAGTAACCACACAGTTTACGAATAAAGATTCTACCTCGTAACCACAGCGTTTACGAAAAAAAAATTACCCCGTAACCACAGAGTTTACGAATAAAAAAAAATTACCCCGTAACCACAGAGTTTACGAATAAAAAAAAATTACCCCGTAACCACAGAGTTTACGAATAAAAAAAAATTACCCCGTAACCACAGAGTTTACGAATAAAAATTACCCCGTAACCACAGAGTTTACGAATAAAAATTACCCCGTAACTACAGTGTTTACGAATAAAAATTACCTCGTAACCACAGTGTTTACGAATAAAGATTACCCCGTTACCACAGAGTTTACGAATAAAGATTCTACCTCGTAACCACAGTGTTTACGAATAAAGATTACCATGTAACCACAGTGTTTACGAATAAAGATTACCCCGTAACCACAGTCTTTACGAATAAAGATTACCTCGTTACCACAGCGTTAAATGATTACCTCATAACCACAGCGTTTACGAATAAAGATTTCCCCGTAACCACAGAGTTTACGAATAAAGATTACCCCGTAACCACAGAGTTTACGAATAAAGATTACCCCGAAACCACAGAGTTTACGAATAAAGATTACCCCGTAACCACAGAGTTTACGAATTATGATTACCCCGAAACCACAGAGTTTACGAATAAAGATTACCCTGTAACCACAGAGTTCACGAATAAAGATTACCATGTAACCACAGCGTTTACGAATAAAGATTACCCCGTAACCACAGCGTTTACGAATAAAGATTGTATTTATAAAACCTTGGCCCTCGTGGATACAGTATTTATGATATAGGGTTACCCTAACCCCACTGTAATCTTTATTAGGGTTACTCTCTACCCTAACCCTAATGTGGCCCCGTCTTCATTAGCCCAGCATAGGAGCAGAACAGTAGGACGTTAAACCCCATTTCATTTCATTTCCCTAATGTGGTTACGAAGGACCTCTTTCAAAATTATAAACAATTCATATTGTTAATACCGACTAGTCAATTTTTAAAAACATTTATTTGCACAATAAAACAAATAAATAGTTATATACGATAACAATATACACTTATAACAATATTTACATTCTTAACAAATTACATTAATAATAATATTTATATACTCGACCTGTTCTATTATAATATTATATCAGACAGAGAGAGAGAGAGGGAGGGGGGGAGAGGGAGTATAATATTTATATTCTCGACATGTTTTATTATAATATCATAACTTTACTATGAGAGGAAGAGAGAGAGAGAGAGGGGCGAGAGAGAGAGAGATGGTTTTTTTGGGGCATTTCTTGATTTCCATTGTCGAACCCCATGTTTTCTATAATATTACCAAGAGGCTATTAAAACATTGACCAAAATAGAATAATGTCAAACGTATAGCGATATTATTATAGCTGTATCAATGATATGGGTGTAATATAAAGGTAATTCGTGTAGGTTTTTGACCGTTAATTCGTGTTACGCGGATTAAAATGTGCTATGCCAATAACGTATTTCGTTTAAGAATGAGAACAAATGTGGCTCAGCGGGTTAGACGCTGACTCACTAGACCAACAGATGCCGGGTTTCATTCCCAGTGTTCGCCGAGAACCTTCCTCGGGTATTTGCAGCAAGGTTCCCCACTGTCAGTGGGGCCTGGGGAGGAACAGAGCCTAGTCTTTCATATGGGACGAAACACCGAAGTAAAAGACCCCTTTGGAAAAGGTAGTCGACAAAGAGTAAACACACTGCATGGGGTATGCCCCTTTTCATTGGCCCGGTTGGTTCAGAAATGTTGGACGTTAAACTCGAGTTCACTTCGTTTAAGAACATAATAATATCACTCTGGGGATGCTTCAGACTGCAATTGTATGACAAACGTTTTACGCGTGAGTAAATTGGAGAGAGAGAGAGAGAGAGCGAGAGAGAGAGAGAGAGAGAGAGAGAAATGGGGTTTAACGTCCACTCGACACAAACTAGGTCATTTCGGGACTAACATATGGTTTAATTTTATTTCAATAATTCGCTTGCGCGTAGGGGTCTTTAGCAGTGGGAGGAAACCGGAGGACCCGGAGAAAACCCACGAGGTTGGACAGGCGACCCTACTCCTTGCCACGGAGTAAATTGGAATGCCATAGTCATGTTAACATGGTCCGTTTTTGGTTATATTTTGCTATTGGTTGTTGCCGTTGGTCTATGACGTGGATGGCATGCTGGAACTTCCGGTTAATCCTAGCCATGGCGCAACAGCTGATTGGTCTAAAATAAAAACAAAAAAAAAACAACATTTATTTTATTTTATTTTATTTTTATATTTTTATTTATTTTATTTTATTTTCATATATTTTTTTTTATTTTATTTTATTTTCATATTTTTTATTTTATTTTATTTTTTATTTTATTTTTTTAATTTAATTTAATAATTTAATTTAATTTAATTCATTTAATTCATTTAATTCATTTATTTATTTTATTTTATTTTATTTTATTTTATTTTATTTTATTTTATTTTATTTTATTTATTTATTTACAAACACAAAAGGCTTTAGAATCTGTCCACATCTTAGAAAAATCGTAGACGCCGGACTCTCGATTACAATGTACCAGGTTCGAATCCTGGCGTGGGTGGAGAAGAATTGTTGGATTGTTCAAGTCAGGTATCAGATGTTAGTATCCAGTTTACCTTTTGTTGGAAGGTATAACAAAAATTTTCCTTACAGTTAGACAGACTTGGATTCCTTCTAATCGATTCCTATTGTCATTTATTTGGCCGATGTTCTGTTATCTGTATTGTTACAATCGTTTGAGTTTTCAAGTCAGGTTCCATTTGTCCGGAGTAGCGCCGTGGGGTTAACTAGAAACTGCTGCCTAGTTACGGACCCAGACCCACCCGTGTAGAACCCTTGCCAGTTGGAATCTGATGATGAAACGCTGCTGTCCAGGCAAAATTCTTCTCAGTAACAGAATTATTGTGCTGATCAGACGTTAATCTCCTTTGGTCGTACAGATGCACAGTGTACGTCTGGATGATCTCAAATCAAGTTAATAGCGTGTTGGGTTATTTCTAACATATCTTCCAGCTATCTCTTATATAAATATACAAAATTTATGACTTCATATGCCTAAACTGATACTTACCCACGTGACATCTCTGGTGTATTTTAAGGTCAAGTTGACATGTGAACTCCTGTTGACAAATTTTGCACGGAAAAACTTTATCACGTGTGTGTGTTCTCCTCACGTGACTGTCATGTGCTGCATGTGAAGCGAACGCCTTTCCACAGAATTTGCACTGAAAAAAAAATCCGAAGAAGCGTTGTTTATATATTTCCGACCCAACTTGACATTCTTCACGATAATATCGTTTGTAATATTGTTTATGTTTTTTAAAAAAAAAACCCGATCTGAAGCCAATCATTATTCCAATGCCGCGTTAAATAGCCATTATTCCAATGCTATAAAAGAATAAACCCTTGCTGTTACTAAGGACAGCTAACTGTAACTGACCAAGGCAATCTGACAGGGGCGGGTCCAGGAATTCTTGCAGGAGGGGTTTGCCAGGTTCCTGAGACAATGTATCTCTTCTTTTTTTTTATTTGGGGGGAGGGGGGGTCTCTATCGTCATTTTGGCGTATATACGTATATATACTGAACATTTTAAAGAGAGAAATCCAACACTCCGTTTGACGGCAATTTTTTGTTATGAATTAATATGATGACATGATGCTATTAATAGGATCACACTGTGATTCAATTTCATTGATGCAAAGCGTTAATTGTGGTATCACGTACTATGTCTATATGATTAACTCGCGCTTTGAATGCCCGTCCTATCCCACCATCTGAGCATACAGCACAGGACCGTGAAACTTTTCTCATAAAAAGGGTTGTTTTAAAAAAAATATATGTAGCTGAGCAGGGGTGGGGGGCCCTCGACCCCCCCCCCCCTGGATCCATCCCTGATCTGATTAAGTCACGGATCCTATTAGTCGCAGTGAAATAAACCATAGTAATTGTTATTCACAAATAGTGTGTTATTTCATTATATCCCAATTACTAGATACCATAAAGAACCTATTTCTATTCGTTTATATAATTCAAATTCTGTTGTACTTGTCTTCACTACACCAGCATCTGGAAGGGTGTCCAAAAACCCGCGTTCTGTGTGATGAGAGGGATTGGCCAATCAAATGAACTGTTGAGTCGAATTCTTGTCCTGTGCCTCACGGAACTCTGGGTAGACATTCTCAGCGATAGAAAACATAACAAAGCAAATGTTATATTTCCGAACAGCCACTTGAAACATCGATGCTTATTAGTTAATCGCATTACTAACGTCAGAGACACAACATCGCGCATGCTCCCCTTGACGCTATCCAAAGTCCACAAAAAACTAAACGAAATGAAACATAGATCTAATTAAAAGAAATTTAATCAGACTGACCAAGGAGAAAGTGAAGATGAGCCATTGTACGATGATTACGTTAGGGTATCTACGCAAGCAGTCAATGAAGTGGTACGTAAGTCTGGCGTGTACTTTGTGAATCGGGTCACGACTCGACTAAATGACTCAAGGTATCACCGCAACACGGTCAATCATAACATTAAGAAGATGGTATTTACCTTAATAGTTGTTAATCAGAATGTTGTCTGATATGTATCAAGGTATCAGATCAACACGGTAAACCAAAACAGTAAGAAGATAGTATTTACCTTAAATGGTCGTTCACCAGAATGTTGTCTGATATGTATCAAAGTATCAGATCAACACGGTAAACCATAACATTAGGAAGATGGTATTTACCTTAAATGGTCGTTCACCAGAATGTTGTCTGATATGTGTTCTAAGTATACTTGATGCAGTAAATGATTTACTACAATATACACATTTATAGGGTCGCTCACCACTATGTACCTAAAGATAGACAACAAGACAAACATTAATTATACATATCGTACCTAAAAATAGACAACAAGACAAACATTAATTATACATATCGTGAATAAACAGAATATGATAAAGGGTGGGGGTAAGTCTACGTGGATATTCCAATCTGGCCGAAATGATTGGGGCTAATTAGTGTATAAGTGGCCTTTACCTAATCAGTTTACTTTACTCATTCAGAGTCGACCCTATTCCTTGTCACGTACAACCGGGGGATCGAAACCACGCCAGTTGACTCAATGTCAGATCTTTACCTAATCAGTTCTCTTTACTCACTCAGAGTCAACCCTATTCCTTGTCACGTACAACCGGGGGGTCGAAACCACGCCAGTTGACTCAATGACAGATCTTTACCTAATCAGTTCTCTTTACTCACTCAGAGTCGACCCTATTCCTTGTCACGTACAACCGGGGGATCGAAACCACGGCAGTTGACTCAATGACAGATCTTATAATACAGCCCGCATGTGCTTACCATTCGGTCATCCCCCCACCCCCCCCCACCCCACACACACACACACACCGAACATAAAATAATAATAATAAAAAACAAAGTTTTGTTATTTTATTACTACTTACCCGCATATGTTTATTCAAACTTGATGACTGGCTAAAACTTTTAGCACAGACACTGCATTTATGTGGACGATGCTTCTCATGCACGTGTAACACATGAATTCTCAAACGATCTCTTTTCTCAAACGATCTGGAAAACAAATAATAACATTTCAGTGAAAATTGAAAAGGCAATGCATGTAAAAAAAAACCCAAAACAATCAGCTTTCTGTCGGTTCATCCCAAATCCATTTAAACATACATTATGCAAGAGCTACATCTGCCTACTGCAGTTTTTTATTCGGGTCTAAAATGTTTTCTAAATTATTAACTAGACATTAATAAACTGATCCAGGTCGTAATCAACTCTCGATGGCATCGGATTTCTCCGATATTAAATAGATCAGAACAGTTCAGCCATATTTTGATTTAATCTAAAAATGGAGAAGCGAGACTTAGCTTCGAACAACCAGTACGTTGGTTGAAATTATTGCATACGTTATGTCAAACCTTCAAAGGCTAATATCTTCGCTCGCAATAGAGTAATTTGAATGAAATTTTTAAATTATTCATTTTACATTATCTATTTTCGAACTATTATAGCAAAAATGGCTAGTTCTTTATCTAAATTTTACATAATGTATCTTTAAGAATTGAGTATTTTTCTATATTTACCTGGCACAGAGATGACATGGGAACTTCCTGTCTCCCTGGTCAACACATTTAGTATATTTAAGATGTTTATCTCTGTAATATTGATAAGCGAAAACTTTGCCACATCGTTCACACTGATATCCTTCACTATCTAAAATATAAACATAGCTTAAACATGCATTATGCAAGAGCTAAATCTGCCTATTGCAGGTCTTTCTTTAGGCCTGAAATGTTATATAAATTATTAATTAGACATTAATTAACTTATCCAGGCCATAATCAACTCTCGATGGCATCAGATTTCTCCGATATTAAAAAGATTAGAATGGTTCAGCGATACTTTGATTTAATCAAATATGGAGGACCGAGAGTTAGCTTCGATTATTGCACACGTCTGTCAAACCTTCAAAGGCTAATATCTTCGCTTGCGATAGAGTAATTTGAATGAAATTTTCAAATTATTCCTTTTACATCATCTACTTTCGAACTATTATAGCAAGAATGGCTAGTTCTTTATCTAAATCTTACATAATGTATCTTTAATAAACACTGCTATAGTCCTATCAAACATTAACACTGATATCCCTCACTATCTAAAATATAAACATTGCCGACATCAACACAAGCTTTTCGATTGTTCGTCCTCGGAAGTAAACTTGCCCTAAAAACTATATTTCCTATATAGGAGGCAGACCACCATTAAATTTCATCATCTCGGTACCCACGAATTGTAGTTCGTCTATTTATAGCAATTCTCTCTCTCTCTCTTTTCTCCCCCTTTGCATGCCCATTTGTGTTGATTTTTTGGTCTAGAATAGACGAAAAGGGTATGAATTAACATTTTCTGCCAGGTTTTGGTAAATATTCATGATTTTGAGGCGGAAGGATAAGACGGTTATCAGGTTAGCTACGGCGATATGTACGGCAACTAGTTACATGTTTTTAGTATGCTTCTTCAAGTTTGTGTATCTCAAAATTTTGGTGGTCAACCTCGTACAAATTTTAGTGCAAAGACATGACCATTTGTTCCTCTGTCTGTAGTGAAAAGCATTCAGCCCAACGAAAATTTGGGGAAAAGTTGGAGGTGGGCAAAGAGGCCAGAATTAACATTGAAGTCAATGGGGAAATTAATGGTGGTCTGCCTCCTATATAATACAACTAAGATATAGGTCTAGTAGTATTCTATTTTTAGACTTGCGTGTGCGGAGGTATATTTTGTCCGGACATCCTAAAAATAGGCATGGCTGCTTTTATTGGCTACAATATTTTCACATTTCTTCGAAGTGGCGGATCACCCATATATATTTTAAAAACCCTTTGGGAGCCTTGATTCAATTTTTCAGAAGGCGACTTTTTATTTTGATTTTCAAATTTTTATACTGCCACGGGTGAAAATGGAGATGCTTTAATTTATTCTACAGATTTTTATACTGCGATTTTTTTAAGAGATCAGAAACAAAAGGGGTCTAATAGAATACAAACCCTAGAATTGAAACTTTCAACAGTCATGGCGCGCATTCTCTTGGATTAGTGTTTATGTTCCCTGTTCATTGCATCTGTTTAATATTCCTGAGAAGATTCAAAATCAGAAGTTAACAAGATTCCTAAAGCAAGAAATAGAATCCGTGTTTTATTGTTCTAACCAATGTTTACAACATAGCCGAACAACATGTAGAATCTTAAACCGTTTCTTATTCTCCCCCTGGGAACGGAAGTCATCATGGCTGTCGTATTTACCGCCTTTTCTAATCTCGTGAGCGACCAGAAGTCGTAGAGCTAGATTAGCGAGGAATGAGAATAACGCGCAGACGACATTCGACATCAATGACGTCAAATCATGACGATCATCCCGCCTCGATTAACCAGGTCACAAAAAGTCGTAAAGCGGCCATAAAAGAGGATAGATGAAGACAGTAGCAGACAATAAACTATTACTGATTCCTAGTTAATAAGATAGAACGAATCTAATTGGACCTCCTGATAGTTCTATCATCCTTACGAGTCTCAAAGGATATGATTGGTGAAAACCCTCTCGAACTTAAGACCCAATAAATAAACAAGACGAATAATTGCGCTGGGTTTTATCGACGTGTTTAATTATTTTACTGATCTTCACAGCATCTTTCTCGTCTTGAAGAGAGAAAGACCAGCCCTTGAGATTTTTTTCTGCAGTAATCACCCACAATACAATCGTGTAAAATTCTTTCAAAAGGGTCTACCCTTATCCACGGGTTAATTCGTCTTTATTGTCCATCAAATATGGTGAATGATACTTCCTGATCCATGTCCGAATATTGTATATATGAGAATGATCTCGGAGTTTAGAACACTATTGCCATGCTAGGGCCTAATAATTACGGTTTAATAATTATGATAGACTTTAGAATACTATAGCCATATTAAGTTCAAATAATTATAATATGGTTTAAAATACTATGGCCATATTAGGGTCTAAAAATTATAATATAGTTTAAAATACTATGGCCATATTAGGACATAATAATTATAATATAGTTTTTGACTTTAGAATACTATAGCCGTATTAGGGTCTAATAATTATAATATAGTTTAAAATACTATGGCCATATTAGGACATAATAATTATAATATCGTTTTTGACTTTAGAATACTATAGCCACATTCGGATCTAAAAATTATAATATAGTTTAAAATACTATAGCCATATCAGGACATAATAATTATAATATAGTTGTTGACCTTAGAATACTATAGCCATAGTAGGACCTAATAATTATAATAGAATACTATAGCCATATTTGGGCCTAATAATTATAATATAGTTTAGAATACTATAGCCATATTAGGGCCTAATAAATATAATAGAGTTTAGAATACTATAGCCATATTAGAACCTAATAATTATAATAGAATACTATAGCCATATTTGGGCCTAATAATTATAATATAGTTTACAATACTATAACCATATTAGGGTATAATAATCGTAATACAGTTTAGAATACTATGGCCATATTAAGGTCTAATAATTATTTTAAAAAAAAGAATCTTACTTTCTACTGTCGGGATTGACGGCATGCCATTGTTTCCTTCCGTGCTTGGGAGAGTTAGGGGAATTCCCATAAAGTGCATGTATCCTTCCCCATACCACACTAACAGTTCACAGCCCGGATTTACATCACGTGACGTGTAGTAATACACCTCATCTCCTTCCTGTACAGCATGCACGTTCTGTTCATTAATATGACGTGCACAGTTTAAATAGGACATCCAACTTCCGGTAGAACCTCTACCATCAATAAAGTGACTTAATTTACCATCATTAAAAATCTAAAAAGCAAAATGACAATTTTTAATTGATCCAAATATATCTTGGATTGAATAATTCAATTTCTCAGTTTGAGCGGAAATATAAAACAAACCCGGTTATCATTTATTTAAATATATTAAATATTGAAAATGAAGATGGTGGTTTCGTTATGAAATGACAAACTCTAATACTATGGTAACAATATTTCCTTGACATTAGAAGGAGGTTCGTCTACATATTTCCTTGACAATGGGGCAGTTGGAATTCGACATCAGAGCAGGCCGTAACGGCCCTGTCCGGGCACAATTTCCCTCATAGCACACTGTGTAGCGTATACCCTTCTTCATTAGCCCAGTCAGAGCACAACAATAGGACGTTAAACACATTTCATTTAATTCAATTTACCTACCTCCCACATGTGTGTGTTATCGTCGAATGTTTTAATCTCGCTCGTGTTAACGACCTTTCCTTTAAAAGGCCCGAACTTAGTCCCTTTAACTATCACAGATTTCTTACAAAATATACCAAAATGTACAATACCACCAATATTAGTTTGTGACAGTACCAAACCTGAAATATAGTAGTAGGAATATATAGGTTATTTTGATACTAACATGTAAATTAATCATACATTATGCAAGAGCTAAATCTGATTATTGCAAGTCTTAATTTAGGCTTCAGATGATATAGAAATTATAAATTAGATCTTTATTTAAACAACAAGCCCAAAATCAACTCTGTAGACCCCCGGATGGCTCGGCTACAGCTCGGATTTAAATAGGATTTCATTAATTGATTAAATCAAATATGGGGCAACCTGATGAAAATACGTCAGTTAGATCGAGGCTAAATGATAGAGTGTATTTAGCGAGGCCGCTGTAGAGCGTTTCCGCATGCCATTGAAAACTTTACTTGATAATCGAGATATGTAGGTGGAGTTAACGCCTGTCAATCAAACGATCGGCCAAGGTGAAGACGCATTTCGCTACCATTTCTAGTCAAATATTACAACGATGATAACTATGTTCAGAATAAAGTAATTTGACTGAAATTTTCAATATATTCTTCTTTCATCATCTACTTTTGAACTGTTATAGCAAGAATGGCCAACTCTCTATAAAAAAATCTCCCATGATGTATCTTTAAATGAAAACGTGGTTTAACGACCAACTGTTCTGTACCAAATATACCAAGAGCTCCACGGACTCAAAATATAACAAGAGAGAGAGAGAGAGAGGGGGGGGGGAGACAGAGAGAGAGGGGGAGACAGAGAGATAGAGAGAGGGGAGACAGAGAGAGAGAGAGGGGGGAGACAGAGAGAGAGAGAGAGGGAGACAGAGAGAGAGAGACATACACACACACACAGATGGGATTTAAAGTCCACTCGACACAAACTAGGTCACTTCGGGACTATGGTTGAATTTTATTTCAATAATTCGCTTACTCGTAGGGGTCTTTAGCAGTGGGAGGAAACCGGAGGACGGACTATGGTTGAATTTTATTTCAATAATTCGCTTACTCGTAGAGGTCTTTATCAGTGGGCGGAAACCGGAGGACCGGGTGAAAACTCATGAGGTTGGACAGACGACCCTACTCCTTGTCACGTACAACCGCGAATCGAAACCACGCCAGTTGACTCAATGACAGATCTTATGATACAGCGCGCATGCGCTACCCCCCCCCCCCCATATACTAAAAGCTCTACTACTAGCACGAACACAAATACTGTTTGTAATTTACCTGAAGGTAGATCGTGCACAGGTGGACTAGATCGACAATTTCTCCAGGTAGACATATTTAATTCTTTAGACGGCATCAACATTTTATCCAAACCTGCAATTTACAACAGTTATATTTTAATTAAAAAGTATAAAGAACCAAAGTTAGAACAGTTAACCCATGTGCGGACACGTTACACGAATTCATTGGCGGCAAGAAGGGGTAATCCAAGACCCCCAGACATAAATAGGTTTTTGTATGCATAATTTTATTCGAATACGATCAAACTATAGCTTCACACAAAGACTGAAGAATCATCAATCAAGTAAAAACAATATTTGAGGTATTAACGGTGAAGATATGAATTATAAGGTGTTGTTTGAAACCAACAAAATCTGCAAATAGCGTTATTGTCCTTTCCATGTTGAATCGTCTTTTTGCGGGTACTTTCCCTAGATTTTTTTTCAGATCTAGATTACTAGAATGACCAACACAATATCATCAGTAAGAATGATTCCAAATACAAAACCTGCACTGCGCGCAGAACAGATTAGGCACTTGTAACCAGCAAAATGTTTAAAGGAGAGGGGAGGGAGTCCACAAGACCCCTTGTTTCCGATAATGTAATACTTTTAGTTTCTTGTCAAATGGTGAATGTTACCGCTTCCTCACTTCCGTTCTATTTGCAGCATTATACCCGACATTAAGTAGCTGACAATGTATAAAATTATGAACCGGTTCACCACAAATGTTATGGATATGGTCCTGGGGTCCCGAAATACCCTTTAATATCCGCACAAGGGTTAATCAGTTGTTATAAAAATTATTAATGAACAAATTTGAATTGGATATAACGGTCGTCGCTGAGATGATTGTAAGAGTAGCGCCCAGTTCACAAATTTGAGCAGCATTTTACCTCTTGATTCACCACGGCAGGGAGTTCTAATGACCGAATATCTCCACTATTGTTCATTGAATATTCCTTTAACTTAAAACGGATATGATCAGATTCCTGTTGGTGGAAATTAAATACACGTCGTTAGTCATGGTTTACAAGCCAGCTAACTATCGTCATATGAACTAAGGGCAACTAAACATACATTGTTGGTCATGGTTTACAAGCCAGCTAACTATCATGATATGTACTAGGGGCAACTAAACACACAGTGTTGGTCATGGTTTACAAACTAGGTTATTATCATATTAACTGGGGGCAATGAAACGCACAGCATGGGTCATGGCTTACAATCTAGGTAATTATCATGGAATGAACTTGACTATCATGGAATGAACATGACTATCCTAGATTGCAAAGTCTAATTGTCGGGCAATCGCCTTTTTAGTAATCAGTTAGAAACACAACATGAATGTCCAAATCTCATGTACCCCTGCAGCTTCCACCAAACGAGGAGGGCCATCACCGTTCCATCTATAAATTCCTATACGTGTCTCTAGAAGTCTACAATATTTTTTACCCTTCTCTGTAAAACTACTTTCTAGATTTGCCTAACAATTATATAGAAAAGGGCGGTAACCCTTTTTTTCTCAAAGATTAGACATACAGGTTATCTTACCTTGACTTATATCACCTACACGTATTCCACTTAGCGCGTGAACTCTCTGAATCTGTTGACCACCGACGTCACAAGGGGATTTCCCGTACAGAACGAAGTCGAGGTCTTGATGAGTAAAACAAAACACATGATGTAACGGTGCTGGTGTGCAGAAAAGCAGCCGATTGGCTATTTCGGGTAGGAATCTTGCTGGAATAGGTGGTGGTCTCAAATTTGGTAGACATGGAAACAGTTCTGGTGTGACGTCGGGTCTTGGTGGAATGAAACTGAAAAATATGTGATCATATATTTAAAGGAAACAAGGTTCTTCTGTGTTTTTTGTGCTGGATAAGGCTTGAAGTCGGCAAAACTAAGATATTGTTTTATTAGCGCTGATGGTACAAAACAATATCACTACGCGACGAATGGACATAGCTCACAAATATTCCTACGCCGTCACCCACGAAACAAGGGTCAAAGCTATTTTCAGTCTTTCGACTCTCACTTTTTCCCCCTTTTGTATGGCCATTTTTGAGTTTTTGGTGTGGAATCGAAGAAAAGGGTTTGAAAATACATTTTCTGCCAGGTTTTGGTGAATATTCATGATTTTGAGGCTACAAGAGTTGAGAGGTAGGTTATGTTAAAATGTAGAGCCTAAAATTGCATGTTTACTTGTCTCTACTTCCAGCTCGTGTATCTCAAGTTTTTCATGAAGAACCACATACGCGCTTTTGTGCAAGAGAATGCCACATGTTGCTCCATCTGTGGTAGAAAGCATTCTCAGACTTAAAGATACATTGTGGGAGATTCGGTAACGAGTTGGCAGTTCGCACTATAATAGTTAAAACCTAGATAGTGTAAAGACAATTAGCTGAAAATTTCATTCAAATTGAAAATTGATCCACTATGAACCAAGAACTAAGCGACTGAAATTTCCACCTAGCCTCGATCATCATTACTAAAGTCAGTATGATAAACAGCATATTATAGTCTCGATTATCCATTTAATCATTAAATCGTGAAGGAAAGTTATGCAGTAAATCGGCTCATAATCGACTAAAGATCGCTGGCTAGCGATGCCATCTAGAGTTGATTATGGTCTGTATAGGTTAATGAATGTCTAATTAATAATTTAGATAACATTTCAGGCCTAAAGAAAGACCTGCAATAGATAGATTTAGCTCTTGCATAATGTATGTTTAAGTTTAAAATTTTTCAACTTTCAATCACTGTTTATGAGAAATATCTTTAATCCAGAATCACAAAACATTGTACATAGTTTCTTATTGATATATTTAATACATTAAAACAACAAAAGTTCTATAAAGAGCTATATATATTTTAGTTAAAATAAAGCGACCAATTTTGGGTAAATTCTTAACTTAACTCTCGGGGACAGGCCTAGCAAAAAAATCGAAATCGTCATCCCCTTCAATATTGTTATCATATGATTGTGCATACTTGGTTCTTTGTGGTTATACAAATTAAAACCATCGGATTCTTCAACTAAATATAGGCCAAAAACGTCAATTTACTCAACTTTCAATCACTGTTTATAAAAATATAATAATATTTGATCCAGAAAAACAAGACTTTGCACATAGTTTCTTATTGCTGTATTTGATTCATTAAAACAACTAAAACTTTATAAGTTGCTTTATTTTAGTAAATTCTTAACTTAGGTCTAAGATTAGTAATTGTTTCCGCTTATTTTACGATACGGCGGGTTGGGTGGCCGTGGTTTTGATTCCCCAGTTGTATGTGACAAGGAGTAGGGTCGCCTGTCCAGCCTCGTGGGTGTTCTCTGGACCCTCCCATATTCCACCGCCCCCACTGCTAGAGACCCTACGCGCAAGTGAATTATTGAAATACAATTGAACTATATGTTAGTCCCGAAATGACCTAGTCTGTGTCGAGTGGACTTTAACCCCACCTCTCTCTCTCTCTCTCTCTCTCTCTCTCCCTCTCTCTATCTCTCTCTCGGTATATTTATACAGCATCTTGAGCCTTTTGCGTAGCAATTTTTGTTGACCTTTTTGTCAATCACAGTAAGGTGTTTGAGTTTACATTTTCTGTCGGATTTTAGTTAATATTCAGGAAGAAAACCACCTATACGAAAATAACTTCACAGATTCCCCACTATGACTGTGGGACTCGCTAGGCTTTGGCACAATGGTTTCAGCTAGACTTCACAAGGAATAGATAATCGATAAAAAAAGTTAGACAAACTAAAATTAAAACCGGAGACAAATAGAGATAAAATTTTCATTATAATTTGAAATGCTTTATCAGATGCTAAATGTATAACCAGAAATATATTTTCTTAAATTACATTTCAAAACAAAAAGATATCGAGTTGTTGATCGTCAAACGACGGTTAATTAAGTGGATAATAATGAAAAAATCATGATCATAATAAAATCATATATTTTTGTTGCGCTTTGCTGTATGACATCTATTGAAATTGTTTTCAAAATATTTAATGAGTTTTGTATAAACAAAATAAAAAATAAAAAAACACACGGGCTACAGATGAAATCCGTATAATCACCCAACATCACAGAACAGGTTTCATTTTTCAGGTAAAAAACTAATGATATATCAGCATACTACAGATGAAATCCGTACAAACGCCGACCACACAGAAAAAAACACTTCATTCTTCGAGGTTTTAAAAATGACAATTTATCATCAGTTTTAGTTTCGTACTCTACAGATGAAATCCGTACAAACGCCGACCTCACAGAAAAAAACCTTCTTTTATCGGGGTTAAAAAAATGACAATTTATCAGTTTTAGTTTCGTACACTACAGATGAAATCCGTACAATTACGACGCCATTAAATATTTAAACAGCTACTTAAATCATATCATGGTTGGCCATTATCTATAAAATATCCATCTTTATCATGATATCCTGACATGTTTTTGTATCTATTTAAATAAAAATGAACATGTGAAATAAAGAGCTAATCATGACCCAAGAATTATGAATTAATAAAATCAGACAATTGCACTGATGGTAATCAAGACATGTTTGTCCTGTATATTTTATATGAATAAATGGATTTGTTTTTGTCATTTCTTTCAACACGCGCATTACGTGGTGACCCAAAACGAACCGCCGTGTAACAGCATCGTGTAAATCGCATCTGCTTCGTTTGTTTTTTTTTAGGTGGTCTAGATCGATATGGATATGGAATGAAATGAAATACAATTGAGAGAGAGAGAGAGATGGGGTTTAACGTCCACTCGACACAAACTAGGTCATTTCGGGACTAACGTATGGTTTAATTTTATTTCAATAATTCGCTTGCGCGTAGGGGTCTTTAGCAGTGGGAGGAAACCGGAGGACCCGGAGAAAACCCACGAGGTTGGACAGGCGACCCTACTCCTTGTCACGTATAACCGGGGATTCGAAACCACGCCAGTTGACTCAATGACAGGCCTTATCATACAGCTAACCATTCGGTCATCCACCCGCCCCCCCCCCCCTCACCCGTTGAACGACATTTTTTTTTTAAACTTAATGCAGTTAAGAGTGAGTGTTTGGTTATTGGGTCGTCTTTAAACAGGAAAAAGTTAAACTTTGATCTATCAATAAAAGCAGGAGATAGCTACATTGTCCCTTCTCAGTCAACCCGAACTATTGGTGTAATTTTTAATTCATACTTTTCTTTGGAAAATCACATAAACAATCTATGTAAAATAAGTTATTTTAATTTAAGAAACATAGCTAAAATATGTAAATATCTGTCAGTGGATGCCATAAAAAAATAAATTCACACAAGGTACAATTTTATGGATAGACAATTACTGAGTTTAATACTAAGCGACGTTTCGACGAGGATACTCTCGTCATTATCAAGCAAATGATACGGGTATGTGAATAGTAGGCAAATATATACAGAACATGCAACAAAAATAACAATCAAATACAATTAAAACTTAACACCTTTGATTAAGGGGGGCCATTAACTACTTCGTTAGTTACATTGCGTATTGATTCTTTTAATTCTGTCCTGTACGGTGTACCCATCAAACATCTTGAAACACTGCAATAATTACAAAACTCCGCTGCTCGCCTTATTTCTGGAACAGTATACAAGGATCATAATATCAGACCTATCTATATAAACTGCAATGGCTTCCTATAATTTTAGAATTTAATATAAGATTTTATTATTAGCCTTTAAATGTATATTATTCAATAATATTGCAATGCCTATTTATACCAATTAGTACGATTAAAACCTGATTAATGACGAGATATTATTCTAGACGTATTGCCACTTAGATTTATTGTTAAAAAAAATATTAAGAGCGGTCTAGTGGAAATGACAACATAACGAAAGCCAGCAATTAAAGACATTTTCTAACTCCGCAGTTCAACTATTGTCTTTATATTGACTATTAATGTATATTTCATATACTCGTTACATTAGCTAGACATAAAATAAAATTTTCTGATTCACGAAGACTGAAAAAAGGCTTAGGTTTTAGGCTTGTAAATCTGCATTTGACTCAACAACAAAAGGTGAAAACCTATTAGGAATTCAGTTAAAGTGGACGGCATTATAAAGCACGGATAGCATTTTAAAATATCTACATTATTAAATACATCCCCATTTCTCCTTATATTTGTACTTAAACGATGCTACCTATTGCCGCGTACTAATTGAAGCGTAAACAGGCTTTTATTTGCGAAGTACGCTACATAAACTAAGCGTAACAATACAATCGCGCGCACTGTGTACGAGGTTGCTCTGTCCATGTTTTTTTATCGCCGAGTAACAAGCATGAATTATTCAACTTAGCGGTAAACTATTCACTCTTTCTAAATCTTCTACTTTTATTCGCCTAGGTTTATCGTTTGCTTTAATAATTCACAGTCACTTAGCTAGAACAGGAAAAATAAAATCTCATTTATATCATCGTTCTCCTCGTCATTCGCTTGTCTTCAATTATCCGTCAACTAATTCAAATAAACACGTTAATAATTTATTAGCAGCGCGCGCTTGTTAATAGCAACTGTTAAAACCCCGCGAGGCGCGTGCCA